ACCCTAAACCATAAACCCCAAGCCCATATAGCATACAAGATATAGCTGCGACGCGAGGATTCTGGAGCATCCCCGGTTCTTCAAGGGCAAGATGTCTCGCACAAACCCTTGCTACCACACTTTCAATGCCGAGATGGTGGAGGCAAGGCGTTAGGGCTTACTGGAGGGTTTTCAGGCGGTTTAGGGGTTGAGGATTTAGGGGTTTAGGGTTGAGGGTTTAGGGTTTAGGGTTCAGGGTTTAGGGTTTAGGGTTTAGGTGCTTGGTTTAGGGTTCAGGGTGTTGGGGGTTTTGTGGTTTAGGGTTTAGGGTTTCCTAGCCAGGGCTGAAGGGTGAGGGAGCAAGGTAGATTTCTTTTACGCCACCGCTAGTAGGATGCGTGTCTGGGTGGCTGGGCATGCAAGGCTTCTCAGCTTGGATGCTGGTGTCAGAATCTTGTGTTTTGTGCGGCCGGCTCTCATGCCAGACCAATCTTCGCAATGCCTTGCACGCTAGATTAACGGAAACTACAGGTGGGGAGTTTAGGGTATATAGGCTAGGGCTTCTATAAGACTTCCAGAAGGAATAGACCTTCACAAAGGCTCCTATGAAAATGCTTACCCGCTTGAAAATGTCCTAGACTTGATAGGCTGGCATATAAAGAAGTCGCTGGGCACTCCTGGGCAGGACCCAGGACCCGTTGTGGCAGGCAGCACAGCCCTAACATTCCGCTATAACAGTAACACCAACAAGCATCATAGTAATTAGCACTAATCTTCAATAATGCTTTCAAGTCGCACCTGGTAGCTGCGCCGACGCGCCAGCCAGAGTCAATCCGCTTTTTGCAATGTACAGTCGGGAGCGCATGGCAGCCTTAACAAAAAGCTTCAATAATAGTAAAAATCACAATAGCAATGACAATAACACCCTAATTAGGGTTTAGGGTTTAGGGTTTAGGGTTTTAACAATTCAGTAGCAAGTTCACTCTTTTTTTGCTTGTTCCGGGCAGGGCGGCGACGAGAAGGGCATCTCAGAGAGGTCGTTTTGGAGCTGCAGCATGCGGTCGAAGGCTGGGAAAGAGCCTTGCGAGCAGCATTTTTATTGCTGAGAATGGGCTATTGAAAGTCGTAGTCGCATTTGGTCATACATGTTATATGGAACGCCGAATTTTTATTGCTAAGAATGGGATATTGAACGTCGGTCACTTCGACCAAACAAAAAGCGCAGGCCTCCACAAGGTCCTTTTCTGTATTGCTGATGTATTTATGCGGCACTTATACTAATGTTCTTCTTATGCTATACCGGAAAAACTTTTGTTTTATAGTTATGTCTGTCTATCAAAGCCGAATGAAGCTATGCCCGCATGGGGCTAAGTCTGTGTGGCTAACGGAAATTGCAATCGTTGTCGGCAGAGTCAAATGTCTGGATACTCGTTTGACGGTTTTGTGAGGGTTTTGCGAAGCTCTGGTCCGAGTTTTATAGGTTTTAATTTGCAGGTTTTACATTTATGGGTTCACAGGCGCTGTACCTGTACCTTCAACAAGGTGCACGTGAATCTGAGCAATTGAGGCTCCAAGTTACTCGGTTGAAGGGTTCAGAACATGCGGAATCTTTGGCAGTTCTGGAGAGTTCCGGATGAGAATCAGGGGAGTCGATTTGGGTTGGGGGGTCAAGTTTGATGTCCTAAGCCCTAAACCCTAAACCCTAAACCCTATGACTGGTGAGCAGGCGCGCACCCGCATGAAGGGAACCGCCGATGTCCAGCAGCAGGAGGAGAGCTTGGAATGTAGTATGTGGTGTAGTGTGCAGGCCACCTAAAATTATCCTAAAAGCCCAAAACCCTACACCTTAAGCCCTAAACCCTAAACCCTAAAAGCCCAAAACCCTACGCCTTCAACCGGTAAGGGGTCATTGAAATTGGCCCTGATGATTTCTGCGTTTGAATCCTAGTGCCTGAAACCCATGCCTACATCAGCGGCCCACAAACTGCTGGGCACATTTCAATCTTGGCCCTAAAAGTCAACCCTAAACCCTAAACCC